CGATGGACTTTGGGGATTCTGAACAAAGAAATGAGACTCAAGATTTTTAGGGAAGGATGTCTGTGTGTGTAGAAGGAATAAATAATACACAGGAGAAGTAGAAAGATTTCCGCTGGAGAGGATTGAAGATCAATCGAATAAATTGAGTTATTTGTGGGTATCTAAACTATCGTTAGCTACTTTTGATTGGTTATGTCACTGTGTTGGAGATTTGGGTACTAGGTAATTACAGTTGATTTATAATATTTTATATTAGTAGTTTCTTCCTGGAGAAATAAAATCCCAATGAATTTATCTTTTCCCTTGTGTATTAAGATTATTAGCTTTCTCACGGATTAGCGTATTCTTCATCTAGGCTGAATGAAGATACCCCTTACTTTCCTTAGTTACAGTTTAAAATTATCTATCTTTGACTTAGAATGTTACTTAATACTCGTTGCCCATTTTCTAAGGTTTTGGTACATTGACAAATTTTAGTACGGATTCTCCTATTAGGTTTTTAGCTAGCATGATGGAAGAACGCTATCTCTGTGACAACCAACAGTAAATAAATACTCTGGGAAGGTCAATAAACAGCTCGATATTGTCTCTAACAGTCTTATGTAAACTGATTGGTTTGTAAGTAATTGCATAAACGTGATTTAGAATACCTCATAAGGCAAAAAGTTGATTTGGTTTATCAGCTTCACTAGATAATGTGTGTTTCACATCTGTGCTGGAAAATAGGTGTCAGGTGTAGACCTGGTGTGCGGTAGACATCAAGGGCTATGCTTGCTTGGGGATAGGATGGATAGTTCCACGGGACTCATTTTTGCACAACACACAGCAACACTCACACAAAACAACAGCTACACCCACAGCACAACACAGGGGTATAACCTTGCGGACTCACAGGTCCCTTTTTATTCACAGCTATTCTCTTTTCTTTTTTTTAAAAAAATTATCCCCTTCTTTTCAATAATGTATGTTTCCCCTATTTTTCATCTATTTTCTATTCTTTCCTTTAACTTCTTTTACCTGTTTTATTTCATCCAATCTACTGTAACTATTCTTATTTAAGTCTCGTGTGCTATATCTGAACTTAAGAATTCTTTTTTCTCTCTAACTGTACCTCTATTCCTATTGTATATCATCACAATTCCCATAT